CACGTGAGTTGCCCCCTTCCCTCCCATTGCCCCACTCCATGCCACACTGAGAGGTGGCTCCAGCAGTCTCATATTCCCTCCCCACCCTCTAGTTTCTTCCGAGCAGCCATCTCATGCTCCTGGTGCTCACCAGGGAAGACAAACGGCTGGGTGGTCCAGCTCTCCCCTCAACTCTGCCTTGGGAGGAAGTGCAGGCCATACGGCCCAGGGCACATTAAGTCAATGCTGGCTGCCAATGGGGTGGGGGACAGGCTCTGCTGCACTCCACTCTCCAGATCCACCATGCAGGAACAGTGAAAAGGGGCCCTTGGGTTGAGATGCTGGCCCGTCACCACCTCTGGCCTCTAGGATGTTCGAGCTCACCTGCACCATCCCCCTGGAGAAAGACCTGAAGATCCAGCTATATGACTTTGACCTGTTTTTATCTGATGATGAGATTGGAACTACCGTCATTGACCTTGAGAACCGACTGCTGTCTGGCTTTGGAGCTTGTTGTGGGCTCCCCAAGTCCTACTGCCAGTGAGGGGCCTGTTGGGGGCTGGGCGGGGGTCGGGGTGACAGTGCACCCACACCTCCCCTGGGAGGAGCTAGGAACCAGGACTGGACCTGCCTGATCACTGCTTATTCTCCAGGCCTCACACCTCCTGTTCCTCTCCTGTGCTCAGGTCAGGGCCCTTTAGGTGGCGGGATCAGATGCCCCCAAGCTACCTCCTGGAGCGCTATGCCAAGCGGAAAGGGTTGCCTCCTCCAGTGTTTGACCCCGAGGGAGACTCTGTTTTTTACAGAGGGAAAAAATATAAGCTGCAAAGCTTTGGTGAGCTCAGCATATGACCTAAAAGCACACAGATCTCTGAGGGAAGAGCTGCAGACTGGGGAGAGGGGAGGACAGCTGACCCCTGAGCCAGAGGCTAGCCCACCCTGTGCCGCACTTCACAGCCAGGATGGGCTAGGAAGAGAGCCTAGCAGGGCTGAAGGCCTTGTGGTCCCCTCCTTCCAATCCAGAGTCCAAAGCCCCGACTGTGCCAGGTCTGGGCCCCAAGAAGGAACGTCTGGCACTGTACATACTACATACCCAGGGGCTGGTGCCCGAACATGTGGAGACACGCACGCTGTACAGTGACAGCCAGCCAGGCATCGACCAGGTAGAAGACCGGTGGGGCTGCCCACTTCCTGTGGGACAAGCATGTTTCACAAATGTCCATAAGAAGGTCCAGTGATGTCACTTAGAATAGAGGACATCAGGGCTGGGAAAGGTCACCTGCATCTGCTAGGGAAAGTGCTAAGGATCCCGGACAGCCAATGCCTCTGGGAGAGGCGGCACCTTAGGTCACAGTGCAGATGTGACAGCCCTGCTTTCAGGCTGACAATTGTAGGCTGCTTTCTCCATGGCAAGGAGCCCCAAACACAGAGATGAGATCCTCAAGGGCATCCTTGTTACGCTCCTCCCTCTAGCCACAAGGCTCTCCTCAGTCTCCACAGGACTCTAGCTGAGGTACATTCCGGAGAAAAGTCCTTTTCTTAGTATTGTTAAAATAATCCCTCTCCTTATACCTGTCTTCTCAAGTGGGTCATTAGAGGAAAACTGGGGTTGGTGCTTGGAAAGACAGAGTATACTCGTTTCCCAAACTTGGCATTGCTGTCCTTTGACCTTTTTCTCTCCCATCTTCCTTCTTGGACCTCTGTACTTGGTGACTGGCTCCATATTCCGAGGCTGTGCTCAAGTAACATTAAAGTGAGCTCACTGAGCAGCCAGTCCTCTTACAATGCTTAATAAATGAAAGCCCAGACACCTTCTGGAACTCCCACTCCTGTCCAAGGCCCCTAGCTGGGTGCTTTTCACCCTCCAGACCCATCACAAGTAAAATGGCACCATACTTGGGGTGTGGACCCTCACATCTACTCACCACCCCAAAATGAAGAGACAGCATTCCACTCCTCCTCAGGTGGGCATACAGCCCTGGAACACAGCCTCAGCACCAGGGAAAGCCTTCAGGCTGTCCTGCTGCAACTGCTAACCCATCTGGCCCTAGGGAAAGCTGCAAATGTGGGTGGACATCTTCCCCCAGAAGCTGGGGCCACCCGGTCCCCCTGTCAAAATCAGCACCAGAAAACCTAAGAGGTGAGTAGCACCCACTTCCCCATCACCACATTTTAGCCAAGCCCCAAATGTCCTAAGAGGCTGAGTGGCAGGAATCTTCTGAATCTTCCTCTGAAGGGGAGAGGAACCCCAAATTTGGCCAGGCCCTGGAGGACAGCCTCCAGGCCTTGCCCCCTCACCAAGGCTGTGGGGCACAGCTCCTCAGCAGAGCCTTAGAGCACAGTGGCTGCAGGTATGAGCTGCGCTGCGTTGTCTGGAAAACTGCGCAGGTGGACCTGGTAGATGAGGCACTCAGCAGGGAGAAGATGAGCGACATCTACATCAAAGGGTGAGGAGAGCCCTGTACATGAGGGGACAGTGCTCCACTGCCACCATGCCTAGTGGGAATGCGGAACAGATTTGTAAGCACTGGTGAAAGGACTCTGGTCTGGCCCTAGGTGGTTGTTTGGGCTAGAGAAAGACATGCAGAAGACAGACATCCACTACCACTCCCTTAGCGGGGAGGCTACCTTCAACTGGCGGTTCATCTTCACCATGGACTACCTGGCAGCAGAGCACATGTGCATCGAGAGCCAGAAGGTGCCAGGGAAGGGGGTGCAGCCTCAGGGTTCCCCCCTACCCTCCAGTGACACGCACATAGTGACAGACCTAGCGACTGTCCACAGGCAAAGGCCTTCTCCTTGGTAGTCAGTCCCTCACTGCTGGGGAGTAGGCTATGCAGCTATCCGGGGGCTGTCTCCCTTGTGGGCTGGAAAGTGTCCTCCGCCCTCCAGGATTATATATGGAGCCTGGACCCTACATCCACCAAGTTCCCAGCTCGGCTCATCATCCAAATTTGGGACAACGACATCTTCTCCAGCGATGACTTCCTGGGTGAGGCCGGCTCAGGGTGGTGACCCAGGCTGAGGGATGCCCCTTGCTGATGGTGCTTCGCTTCTCTGGACCAGGGGTCCTAGAGCTGGACCTGTCAGATATGCCCAGCCCAGCCCGGCACGCCAAGCAGTGCTCCCTCCGGATGCTGGATGCCGAACCCAAGTGGCCCTACTTCCTCCCACACAAGCGCTTCTCCCTCTTTAAGAAGAAAACTGTAACCGGCTGGTGGCCCTGCCAGGTCCAGGATGGTGACAAATGGCGCTTATCGGTAAGAGCTGGGGAAGGTGTCTCTTAAGACTGCTGTGCCATGTGACCTGGCTCTAGCAGCCTTTTGAGCACCTTAGCTGTACCTTTTCCTCCCTGGACACTGGGTGGTATCCCCAACTACCTCTCCCTGTGACTTTGGTCCCTGCCTGTGTGTCCCTAGGGCAAGGTGAAAATGACACTGGAAGTCCTGTCTGAGAAGGAAGCCCTAGCCAGGCCAGCAGGGCAAGGCCAGTCGGAGCCCAACCAGTACCCCATGCTGCACCCTCCCCTGTAAGGCCTGCAGGGCTGAGCTTCCCAGTGTTCCCTCCTCTGTCTGTGGGGTACAGGGGGCAATCACTTCCTTTCATGCAGTTCAGTTACAATCTGCAGAGAACAGGTTGGGGGGTGGGGTGCCCCAAAGGTAAAGCTCTCTGCTCTGGATCCCATGACCTGAAGGTCTGCCCTCTCTTTCTCTGGCATCTTTCCCTGGTACGGACAGACGCGTAGGCAGCTCATTCATGTGGCTGCGGTCTCCTGTTCGACACCTGTGCCTTGGTCTCTGCCGGCGTTACCGCTGCAAAATCCTGAGCTTCTCAGTCTTGCTGGTCATAGGATTTATGCTGTTCAAATTTATCTACTCAGCTCCGGTGAGGGGCCACCTCAGGGAGAGGGACAAGGCATGGGCTGCTCATGGGACAGCTAAGGGCACCTTTCAGTTGCTGGCTCAGCCTGATTCTGCCTTTGCTTTTCTCCAGAACTACTTGGCCATGAGCTGGATCCACCCCACACTCCGCGTGCAGCCTCCCATTAAAATATACAACCTCATCAATTCGGCCACTGCCAGCAGTGCCAGCCCTGCCCCCCTCGCCACCCAGGCACCAAGCCTAGAGCCTGTAACAGACCACCAGCTGCAGCTCCTCCAGGTGCCTAAGCAGCACCTGGGTGACATTTTCCCAGAACTTCTGGCTCCCCAGGACTGATCTGCGAGTGTCTGCCTGTCTCCTCTCCTGCCCGCTGTCAGTTGTCCCCTGGGCTTCCTGTAGTTCCGATTCTGTCTTAAAGAACATACAGGGGTGAGGTGTATTATTCCTATTGTGTCTAAGACAAGCAGAGCTGAAATTTCCCACTGAAATAAACACATTTTATAGCACAGCCACCTTGTCATTTACTTAAGAGGCTGAAGATGGCATGAAAGGATTCACAGGGCCAGGGAACAATGTCGCCTGAATGTGCCCCTGCAAGGTTTCTTCCATGCAAACAGGCTCCTGGTATTAGAGGAAACGGAGGGACAGTGACTGTGAGAAGCGGCTCTCAGGGGACCAAACCTTGGACCAGGCATGGCTGTCACCCAGCACTCAGGTCACAGATCCAGATCCATCTCAGGCCTACTCGCCATGGGAAGCATTTGTTTCTAGAACAAAAAGAGCCAGGGCAGGATATAAAATGCTAGGGTGGGTGGTTTTCTTGGGCCATTCATTTTTTTCTAAGGATAGCAGCTTGGTCCCTATGCTGGGTGGAGACTCCATTTCCCAATTCCCTAATCTCTTTAAAGGCCTTCCAGGTTCTTTGAGCTGGAACTACAGAGGCTGTAGAGTTTGGTCTCTGTTCCCTCCCACCACACGCAGTCTCTCCACCTTACAAGCCCTCCTAGCCCTCCCTTCACAGCCCCTTTCTCCCGCTTGCACACAAAGAACAAAACCCGGTTTGAGATTTGCCCTCCAGTTCTCCCAGCTGCACTGCTGTTGTGGAAGGTGCCGGGAGAATTCCTGCCACCTCTGCCCACCTTTGTGCCACACACAGTCCTGCTCCAGGCAAGGCAGAAGGCCCCTGATGGCAGCGGAGCCCTTCTGTGCTGAGCCCAGGGCCTTCCCCTGCAGAAGACAGAGGAAAAGCAATGGGTCTGAGGTTCGAGAAAAAGGCCTGGACACCTGCTAACCCAGCCCAAAAGGAAGGACAGAGTCAGAAGCTTAGGACTGGTTCCCTCAGCCACTTTAGAATTTCCCTTAGGTTATAGAGGCCTGATCCTGACCCAAACCACCTCAGTCACAGGGAAGACAGGCGAGCAGCATATGATTCTTGTCAGATAATGCAGTGGAGAAAGGGTCAACATGTAAGGCCATCACACAGGTTCATGATCACAAGCTCTTCCAGGCACAGAGGAGGCTGTTTGCTCCTAGGCTTACCAAATAAGAACAGCAATTATTTCTTCTCCATTAAGAAAAAGAAGATAGATTTCCTGTTGCGGGGGTACCCAAGGCTAGATAGTAAGAAGAAAGCTTCCTTACACTTCCAATATTCAAAGCAGATTTCCCAAAATCATGATCAACAAGAACATGCAGATAAGCAGACTCCAGTGGGTCCAGAGGCACATGATAAAGTCCATTTTCTGTGGCAAACCTACACCAGCTCAGCTTCACAATCTTCTCTCAACCTGCAGCTGACTGCCAGCCAAACGTAGCACAGAGGGTCCTGGACATTCCAACATACCCACGGCCCCTAAAGAGGACAGAGCTGCAGAAAGCCCCAGGCCACCAGGGAGGGTCCGTGAAACCTCAGTCTGCTCTGCAGCCCCATAGAGGCGCCCAGCTCAGGTTGCACATAGCGAGGATGAGTAGAGGGAGGAAAGGATGCAGGAAAGAAGTTTCCACCCAGATTTCCATGGGGATCTCCTCAATGGGCAGAAGGTTGGGCAAAGAGCAAAAACTATTAAGTGAACATCCTGAAAGTGAGAGCAGCTTCCTGCTCTGTGTGGATTAAGAATGTAGCTGTCCAAGCCTCCCTGGTCTGGGCAGGCACTGGGGCATCACAGTGCACATGTTCTCTCCACACCTCTTCACTCCCAGCAGAAGGACTCCAGGGAAAGGCACGTTGCAGCAGCTTCATGGGCCAGAGCAGGATGTCCCTGTGGATGACTGTGGGAAGGCAGTGTCTTCACACAAAGCTGGAGTGACAGAACACAGCCCCCACCCAGGCTGGCTGAGGCCAGGGTCCGCTTCTCTACACCTTGGAGGTGAATGATACAGGTGGTGGCAGCAGTGGGCGCTCAGTAGAAACGCTTTCGGCTCTGTTCCTGCCATTTGTTGTAGAGTATGATACCAATGACAATGGCAAACACAGAAAATACCAGGGAGAAGAAGACGATGAGGAAGAGAGCCAGGCCACTCAGGGGCTGCAGCGGGGCTGTCACTAGCAAGCAAGAGAGAATCAAGTCAGAGACAGAGCCCACCTACTGGGAAGAATCAACCAGACTGTTCAGCCCCCCACTTCTGGAGTGGTGACTTCCAATCCCTGACGGCTCAATTTAAACATGAAGCATTCACTGTTGCTGATCTGTAGAAGGGGAAAAATGCAAAGGCAGGTGCACACATCCCACCTTCTTCAGAGGACACCTGCCTTCCACACTGTGCCTGCAAGTTACCCTAACTTCAGTGGCACTGCCACTTCCTCCCCAGCCCTCCCAGGATCCCCACACTCACTCTCCGGCAGCTTCATGTTGTCTACTGAGGGCATGAACACATCCCGATGCAGCTTCTCCTCCTCCGGGGTCCTCTCCACCGTCAGCTCAAACAACTTCAGGGAAATGACATCGTGATTGTCTGGAGAGAGGGAGGAGGATTACTCTAGCTGCCTTGGTTCAAACCTCTGATCCTTGAAAGATAACTGCAACCTCTCCACTCTGTCATTTCAAAATAAGTACGGTGGGGTGGGGAGAATGGGGAACAAAGCATATTCTATATTTTCTGTATACTAGTATAGTTTAAAAATGTAGAGAATTAAATCCCATATCACACATAATGCCTCCTAGCACAAGGGGATGCCTGGTGACACTGCAGCTTCCCTCACTGAAGATCTCACACAAAAGGGCTCAGGACACCTGTTTACTGGGTCACAGGGCATGGCAGGTGTAGCTATTGGCACAGAAGATAATGCATTGATTTCTGTGTGGCTCTTTGGAATTGTGACCCTGAACCTCCCTAACAGTTAACAGAACATATCAAGGAAATAGAGATTGGATTCCTCTCTTCTAAAAATATTGTTATAAATGCTGGGCGTGGTGATCCACACCTGTAATCCCAGCACTTCAGAGGCAGAAGGAGTATCACCAAGAGTTTACGAGTTTGGGGCTAGCCTAGGCTACCTAGTGAGTTCAGGGCCAGCTTGAATATAAAGCCACACACACAACCACCACAAAAAAACTGTTATAAATACATGGATTTATACTCTTAAATGAAATGAACAGGATACACACGTGTAAATACAAACTACTTTCTCTGGTGTGGAAAAAAAATGTAAATAAGGTTCCAATTGTATAATTGATAATGTGAAATAGGAAGAAAAGGTCTAAAGGAGTAGGGAAGTGGGAAGGGTAGAGAAAAGGAAAGAAGCAAAAAAAATATGAAAAAAAGAAAAATGGAAACAAAGTCTTTGTAAATAGGGAAGGGAGGGCAGGGGAATGGGGAAAGAGAACCAAGATATATCATGTAAAAGGTACAAGATTCCAATGATGAATGTAACTGTACTGTATATCTAAAATGTACCAATAAACTTAATGAAAAATAAATAAATAAATGGATTTAAATATATTTCCTACACTTCAAAGTACTGACACTTCACTGATGTTCAAGCTGACCGATCTCTGTCAGTGGGAGCCCATTCAGGGTGGCTCCTGAGTCTTTTTACATGAGCCTAGGAGTTTTTGATCTCACTCCTGCTTTCCTGGGTAAGTCCTGGCTTGGACATTTTCCTGCCTGAGACCTGGCACAAGCCGTTTCTTGATGAAGTTTTATTTCTTTTAGTGGGGACTGGTACTGTGAGACCACAAATGTTTGTGCTGGGGAGCTCATGGCCGGAGGGCTGTTACTGCCTGGGACCTGGATTTCTGGTCATTTCTGTCATTAGGATGCTATCCACAGTTGTACACTGCTAGGATCTTGAGTAGATCCCAGACAGTAAACTCTGCATTCATCTTCAATTGGAAAAATATTTTAGTTTATTTAAGCCATGAGACAAGATAAAAGCTTGGGACAAGCTGAGAACAGTGGTGCACGCCTGCAATTCCAGCATGATGGGAGGCTGAGACAGGAGGATCATTAAGTCTGAGTCCTGCCTAGGCAATTCAGTGACTTAGTGAGAGCCTGCCTCAAAATAAAAAATTTAAAAAGGGCTAGGGATGTAGCTCCGTGTGAAGGCCCTGGGTTCAGTCCCCAGTACTGGAAAAATTAAGTTTTGTTTCAAAAGTAAGTTTTATCCATAATAAATTATGTTAATCAGAAGTACCCTTGCCTATTTCTTAACTATTCCCAACAGACATTTTGACTGGGGCTAAAGCCACGGCAGAGAGCACACAAAGAATAGCTATGAATCAGGCAGGAGAAGGAGAGATACCAGAGGCAACAGAAAGTGGAAAAAGCAGGCATTACTGACGTGACATAGTGAAGGGAGTCAAGTGTGAGAACAGTTGCTTAAATGGGCAGAGGAGGGGACAGAAGGCAAAACCAAGGAGAGAGTACTGTATGCAGCAAAGCAGCAGAAGCAACTCTGAGAACAGTGTAGATGGCAAGGCCCGAGAAGGAGGTGGATGGCTGGGAAAGAGAAGCCTCTATACACTGTGTGCCCACAAGTCTAAGCAGGAGGAGGACCTGGGGTCAGTCAGGGGATGGCTGAGTCAGGTGCAGTCCTGCAATAGCAGGGGCACTGGGCACATTAGCAGGTGGAGGGAGAGGAGCTAGATAGCAGAGGGGCAGCAGGGACAGGCTGGACATGCTGGCTGGACAGTGCGGTGAGTGTCGCTTAGCGACAACACCTACCGCCTCCAGGACACAACTGCAGGAAAACCCTGGGCCTCCTGGGCCACTTCTCCCCACAGCTCTGCCCATCTGCCTCTCCTGCAGGGGCCTGACCAGGGCAACTGAGAAGAGGGGAGCAGATGAGGAATGTGCAGGGCTGTACCTGAGAGATCACCCGTGATGGAGGAGGTACCAAAGTAGTACCCTCGGGGCAGCCAGACACCAGGCACCTCCAGGCAGTCTCTCCACTCGTGCTTGCCATCAATGTCTATCATGATCTAGGACAGGAGGAAGAGCCAAGTAGGGCAGGCATGGGAGCAGGAGGGAGACAGCCCAGCGCTCCTGGTCCCAGTGGGGCTCACCGTCAGATGCCTCTTGACATAGCGGATCACGAGGAAGGTGTCGTAATGGAGGTTGCGGACGATGGCTGTGCAGCCCCCCAGCTCCGTGGGTCGCCCATCCCGCTCATGGTCATAGCTGAGGGAACCGTTGTTCACCATGACAGAGATGTAGGGGAACACCCGCTAGGAGGCAGGGGAAAAGCATTCAGTGAGGAAGAGCATGCCACACACCTGAAAGCAGCGACAGGGCTCTGGGGGTCACAAGCTGAGCTCGCACAGTGTCCCAAACAGCCACTGTGCTTACTCGCAACCCTGAACATCCACATCCCAATGGTCACTCAGGAAGTCAGGCCCAGGAGGTCCCGCAGCTCCACACTTGCCTGAGTGACCCTTGCTCCTAACCTGGGCCTGGAGATCCCCTCATGACCCTGGAGTTTGCCTCAGCTACTTCCTGAGAGCCCATCTAGCAGGTCTACTCTGCCCAATACCAGGAGTCCTTTTATGGCTATAAACCTACATCCTAACTACTTCTTGGAGAAACAAATCATTTTTCTGGGTTCTTCCCATCTCCACTTTAGCACCACCCCTTCCCCACATAAGGCCGTTCTGCACATAGCAAACATTGTGAAATACCTGCCCGGGCAGGGCAATCTTGCTACTGAGGGTAGTGCCTTTCAATTTGGAGATCCTACCAGCAGGATTATGGTGCTGAGTGGATTAGGCCTCAGAAGGCCCTGCCAACAAGGGTGTGGAAGTTGTCTCCAGACTCTGCTCATGGTGCAGCAACCTTGTAGCCCACTTCAGCCTCACCCACACAAACTTCCTCTAACAACTACTAATACAGGGTCAGATTCTGCCCCTCAGGAGGAAACGCAAAGTCTCCCACAACCCACTCAATTTCCCACCTACTTCAGAGGCCTTCTTCTTGCAGCAGAGGGACAAACTTTTCCTAGACCTGATGAACCAACCGTCCAGGGCAGGCCTGGTGCCAGGCAACACAGAGGAGCATGGAATGTGGTGGGTTCGTGAGGCATGCACCTCCTAGGTGAGCTCCCCACTGTCCCACACTCAACATGCAGGTGGAAATGCAGTCAAGACCAGAGCCTGGACCTCCTGCGACAATAGCCAAAGGGACTCTAAGCAGCAACAGATGTTGGGTGACATGTAGGAATAGGGGTGGCCAGGGTGGGTCAAGAACTGAGTACCTGGACTCCTGGAGAATATCGCCTCTTCTGGGCCTGAGAGGGTCCAGCAGGTTAGTAGAAAAACAAAGGAGGGCACAGAAGACAGGAGACCAAATCAGAAAGAAACAGCTGTGAAGAGCTAAGACCCAAGCTTCAACGGAGGAACAAACCAACCTAGATCCCCAGACAGAATCAGAGCATCCACAAATGCCATTCAACATGTTCTCATTCCCCTCAAAATTATATGCAAAACCAGTGCTTGTACATCTTTTTGAGAAGGTCTGTATCAGCAGATTCTCAAAGTTCCCCTAGGAAGACCTCTCTGGCCCTGAGGGTCTTAAACCTTTGAAAAGCTTTACAAAAGAATCCCACTGGCCAGACAGGCCCCACATATATTCCTGGGAGTCAGACAGGCAGCCCAAGTTTGTACCCAGATTGCCATTCTCTGTAGCCAGAGGGAGACAAGGCAAACAAGGCTTCTAACTTGGAGATACCTCTTATTCCCTAGGGTATCAGGATATAGCTCTTACCCAGAAAACAAAAATCCCACTGTTTAAGGGACCATTAAATTAACTCTAATCCAAAGGGCTCATTTGCCCTCTAATTGAGCCTTATGGACACATATTCACAAGAAACTGCCGGCATCCTGACTCTAACATGTGGGCACAGGGAAGCTCCGTGGGAACACAGCAGCACAAAGGATCTGGAAGACTACAGAAATCCCCTCAGTTCTGAGCTCCCAGAACCAAGGAAAATGACATAAGCCTAGCCCAGCCTCAGTCTGGGGAAGAGCAGGCAGTGTGCAGCCTGGAACATTCCCTGTTGATACTTTCGTAGCAGGCCAGGCCTGGCTCCTGTTGCTAGGGCCAGGGGCAGACAGACAAGAGAGACAGATAGAGATCTCCTCTCTTGGAAGTGACACATAGTGAGCAGGTAAACAAAATCATTTCAGACAGTGATGGCACCACGAGGAATGAAATACAGGCAATGTGACAGACTGATGAGGGAAGTCCGCCCCTGAGGAGGCCACACTGGAGCTGAAACTCCAGATCTGCGCAGGGGGCTGAGGATGTGGCTCAGTGGTAGAGAGCACTGGCATGAACCAAGCCCTGGGTTCAGTCCCCAGCACCACACAAACAAAACAACCACAAAAGACAGAATGGAGAAAAGTGCTTATCACAGAACTTGGCAACAGAAAGTGATGACTAAATGTTACTTTAAAAAAAAAAAGTGAGCGTAAAGAACACAAGGCTGGCACATTCAAGGACTCAAAGAGGACAGGTATCGAAGCCCAGCTAGTGAGGCAGAGGCTGGGTGGGGCAAAGCAGGAGGAAAGGGCCCTCGGGACACAGTAAAGGGCTAGGAAGGCCCAGAGCAGCGTCCCGTCCCTGTCCTGCACCACTGGCAGAGTATACACAGGATAAGGAAGGCAGAAGTTAGTCAGTCAGCAGATAGTTCTGTTGCCACTACATGACCTTCCACACTATCATTTGGATACAAGGATAGTGAACCTTTTAGAGATTTCAATGATAACAAACAGCTGGCTATGGCATTTGTATCATGGGTTCACCACCACTGGAAGGGAACTGTTTCCATTTTTCACTTTTCTCATATTCCTTTCCCTTTTTCCCTTTCCCTTTCCCTTACCCCTCCCACTTCTCCTTCCCTTTTGGACCTCTTCTCTCTATTTCACATTATCTTATACATTTTGATCCTTATTTACATTTTCAGTTTCTCATACCAGAGTAACTATTCGGTATTTACACATGTGTGTCCTATTTATTTCACTTAGAGTATGGCCTCAATGTGCATCCATTTCTCAATGCTCCAGAAAGAATGGTTGCTAACAAGAAATCAACAATAGGGCTAGGGATTTAGCTCAGAGGTTCTGCTGCCTGCTTTGCAAGCACAAGGTCATGAATTTGATCCCCAGTACCAAAAACAAAGTTCAAAAATAAATAAATAAATAAATCAACCAATAACAGGCAGGCATGGTGCCACCGAGTTAAGTCCCTAGCCCATCAACCAATAACAAATGCTGGCAGGGTTGTGGGGAAAAAGGAAACCTTCTCCAGTTGGTGGGAGTGTAGACTGGTATAACCACTGTAGAAATCAGTATGGAGATACCTCAAAACACTAGGATTTGAGGTCCCATTTAACCCAGCTATTCCCAGATTTGGGTATCTTCCCAAAAGAATTAAAAGAATCATACCACGGCAATCTATGCACACCCATGTTTACAGCAGCACAGTTTGTAATAGGTAAAACTTGGAAACAGCCCAACTGCCCATCAACTGGAGACGAGATAAAGAAGTGGTTATAAAATGGCGTACTACTCAGCCATAAAGAATGAGAAATTAAGGAATTGTGAATATATCATCAAGCAGTTTGGAGAAATCTCTTAGGCTGAGAGAAAGCTTGTAATTTATGTGAACAACTAAAGGAGGGACCAAAAAAACAAAGAAAAATTAAAAATGCCCTAGAGGGTCCCAGTGACCCCAAGATTTGCTTCATTTACCATCTCCCATCCTCATCAGAAGTTGAAGCTAGCCCAGGGTGGTGGCGCACACTTGTACCTCAAGCACTTGGGAGGCTAAGGCAGCAGGATTACTGCAAGTTCAAGGCGCTACATGGTAAGACTCTGTCTTAAAAAATAAAAAAGTTGAGGCTGCAACTTCAGAGTGCCTGAGCCAGCCCAGCAATCCTTAGGCTAAGGGTGTCTCCCTCTTGCCAAGACTGGCGTGGCACCTGATTATGCAGGGACAGCCAGGAACAAAAGGGCCCCAGAAGCACACAGGACAGCTTCCGTCTACACACAGTGAGTGCCCTGGGCAGACTGTAGAACAGGGTGCAGGAGGATGTTGTTTTTGTTTTTTGTTTCTTTGAGATAGGGTCTCACACTATGTAGTTGACACACTTTTGCTTTTTTTTTTTTTTTTTTTTTTTTTTTTTTTTGGTACCGGGGATTGAACTCAGGTCCTTGTGCTTGCGAGGCAGGTGCTGGAACCACTGAGCTAAATTCCCAGCCCCAACTCACTATGTAATTGAGATTGACCTGGAACTCACTATGTAGTCCAGGCTGGGCTCGAACTCACAGTGCCTCAGCCTTGAGAGTGCTGGGATTACAGGCGTGTGCCACCACACCCGGTGGGAGGATGTATTTTTAAAAAGCAACACAAAAGCTTGTGATGTGCACCCACAGGTAAGAAACCCTGCTGGACAAGAGCCCTGCAGCTCCATGGCTGTGATTTGTCTGCCTCAGCAGCTCAGGACTTGGCCTTCAACTTTTAACTGCTAGCTTATTTTCTATTCTGAGGCAGGGGTTCTTGAAGTGTTGCTTGGATAGCCACTAATTTCAGTGCAGCAGCAGGTATTTTTCCCCTGGAAAGCAGCCTACAGCTGGCACCAAAGGTTGAAGAATCTCATTCATTCAGGCAAGGTGGTAGTTCCATTCCTAACTCAAGAATCACAGGAAATGAGGAATTCCCACCTACTGTCCAAATAATTACTGTTTGTTGGCTACAGAATTATTTTTTTCGTACTATGAGGCCACTTAACTTTTTTTTTTCCAAGATCTTCTACAGCTGGGAGCATGATGGTGCACATCTGTGATCCCAGCACTCTAGGAAAACCCTGACTTTACCCTCCCTGATTACTAGTGGAACACTTGCTGCCACTGCCAGAGAGACCTGTTGCTTTTCAGAATTTCATGCCTGTGAGCTGATGGTCCTTGGATACTTTCCTCTAGCCCTTTCCAAGGGAATGCAGTGGAGACAGGTTAACTGAGCAGTACTCTCCTGTTCAGAGTGGATAACAAGATCAGCAAGATCCCCACATTACAGGGCAGCATGAGAGGCCCGTTCCATAGGCCCCAAACTACCGCTGACCTGTACTGGTGACCCTGTCCCCAGGTCTCACACAAAGCTCCTCAACTGGAGGACATGGAAAAGAAGCAATCCCAGGCCCACTGTCTACCCAAAAGACCTTTATATATTTCATACCATGGAATGACTTAAATCTTACGTAGTTGTGACCCCATTAGAAAAATCCCAAATCTAACAATTTGAGGGCTTCAATAGAGTACTCCCTCCAAGGGCCGGGGATTTAGCTCAGTGGTGCTGTCGCCCGCCTTGCAAGCACAAGGTCCTGAGTTTAATCCTTGGTACCAAAAAAAAAAAAAAAAAAAAGAGTACTCCAAAATCAGGAAATTTTTATTTGAGGTTCATACACTTATGTCCACAACCCCCCTTCAGATCACTACAGACACCAAATCTCAGAGTGCAGCCCAAATTTACTGATGCCCATCATTTCAACAGTATGTAGATACTGTCTGTGAATGAGAAGAGCTATCAATTCTATAGAACAGAAGATCTTGCCTATAGTTCTACTTTGGGGAGTCCAAACTTCCTAAAATTATATTAAACTCCTCTGTGTATGTGCCTCTTTCTATGGGGCTAACACTTTTCTCAGATGCTCAAAAGGGTCAAAATCCTAAATAAGGTAAAGACTAATCCAAAGCGACCCACCTTCCTTAGCCCTGGTTCTTGCCTTCTCCTTCCTTTTTCCCTTCCTCAGACTGGAAACACCATCCTCTCCCTGCCTTCCCATAATACCAGGAGAAAGCCATTCCACTTCCACATTTTCCTTGCAGCCAGCTGTCTACAGAGAGCCCAGCCTCAGGGCCAAGCCATCTAGTCAGCCTCCCTATCTGTGCTCCACAGGCCAGGCCCAAGTCTCCCTTAGAAAATGATGCCTACCTAGGCCTGAGAAAAAAACCCAACTCACACCCAAGCCAGGTGGTAACAAGAGAACTTAAAAAGGTAAAGTACTGAGTTCCTTAATAATGCAGAGAATCGCTCTGCCAACAGAAAAAAGACCAAGGGGAGGGATCAGTGTCTTCATCAAGATAAAAGCTTGATGCACAGTGTTTTGACTCTTTATTTTTTGGCAGTGTGGGGGATTGAGCTCGGGGCTTGGATGTACTAAGCATTCCCTCTACCACTTTGTTACATCCTCAGCCTGTAATGGGTTTTTTAACTGGATGGCACAGTAATGTTCATTTTCTTCTAGTTCAAAGGAGAAAAAATAATCAGTACATCAAAAAATATGTATGGGGAGTGCCTCAAACAAGCCTTGATCCAGAAAGACCAGAGAGCTGTTCACCCCAGACTGCAGCCAATGCTTCTGCCCAAGTCTCCCAGAGAACTCAAGCAGAGCCTGCCAAGGCTATGCTGGGCGCTCTCATCTCAGGAAGTCCCTCACCATCAGGATCTGATTGCAACTATGGGAGACGTTCCCATGCCAAGACTGCCACAGAGCTCCGTGCAGCTCTCACCAACATCTGGCTTCTCCTGAGAAACTGATACGCATCGCTGATGAATTCAGTGTCAAGAAAAGATGATCAGGCCACGTTTTAGCCAACATTTGAAAAATAACAGCAATACTGAGAAATAATTCATACACTACACAGTTCACCTCAAGTATGTAATTCAAAGACTTTGGTATATGCAATTTAAGATTATGATTACATTTCTGCACTCTCAAAAGTGGTGCCCACTATGAGCCACTCTCCCCACCTGTACCCCACAGTGCCCTAGACAATCTCTAATCTGCCCCTCTCTACAGATCTGCCTTCATGGACATCTCATATGCACTACTATATGGATATATCTATCATACTTTGTCTATCCATATATTAGTTTATGGACATTTGAGGTGTATCTATTTTTTAGCTGTTATGAATAATGCTGCTATGAACACTCTTTGTTTTTGTTTTGTTTTTTGGTTTTTTGAGACAGAGTTTTACTATGTAGTTGAGACTGACCTGGAACTCGCTATGTAGCCCAGGCTGGTCTCAAACTCATAGTGATCCTCCTGCCTCAGCCTCCCAAGTGCTCGAATTACAGGTGTAAGCCACCACACCCGGCTGCTATGAACATTCTTACAAAAGCTCTTACAGCCAAGCATGGTAGTGCATACCTATAATCCAGCACTCTGGGAGACTGAGACAGGAAGATTTCAAGTTTGAGCCCAACTCAAAACTTAGTGAGACCCTCTTTCTTTCTTGGTGGGTCACATAAAATATTTTTAACCATTTGAAGAAATACTTGTTCTCCAAAGCACCTGTGTACTGTTTTAATTTCCACCCACCATGTAAGAGAGCATCACGTCATCCCACATGCATGTCCGCACTTCTGTCACCAACATGGTGGGTGTGAAGTAGCACCTCATTAGGATCTTCATTTGCTTTTCCCTATGGCAAATAACATTGAATATTGTTTCATGTGTTTATTGGTCACCTGTCTATCTTCTTTGAAGAAGTATCTATTCAGTATCTTTGCCTACTTTTTATTAGGTTCTCTTTTTAAATACTGAGTTGTGATCTTTTTTGTTAGTTTTGTATGTGTGTATATGTGTGTGTGCGTGTGTGTGTGTGTGTGTGTTTTATTTGTTTGTTTGGTACCAGGGATCGAACTTGGCACCGTGTGCTTGCAAGGCAGGCGGCAGAACCACTGAGCTAAATCCCCGGCCCCTTTTGTTGTTTGGTTTTGGGTTTTTTTGTTTGTTTTTTTTTTGGCTTTTGAGATAGGGTCTCACTATGTAGTTGAGACTGACCTGGAACTCACTACGTAGCCCAGGTTGATCTCGAACTCACAGCGATCCTCCTGCCTCAGCCTCCCGAGGGCTGGGATTACAGGCGTGCGCCATCACGCCTGGCCTGGTTTAGTTTTTTTTGAGAGTTTCAGTATACAGCCAAGGCCAGCCTTAAACTCACAACCCTACTGACTCATCTTCCAAGTCGCTGGGATAACACGTAGGCACCACTGTACCCTGCTCTAATAGGAATTCCTCAGATTCTTTAGGACTGCTTATAACCTGTCACTTGTAAAATAGTTTTCCTTCTTCTTCTCCCATCAAGATCTTTTATTTTCATGTCTAAATGCTTTAGCTAGAGCCTCCAGTACAGTGCTGAACGTAAGTGGCAAGAGTGGATATCTTTGCCTCATTCCTGATTTCATGAGGAAAGGAGTCTTTCACTATTACACAAAGTGAGAGACAAGTTTTTACTGCTACCTCAAGGAACTGGATGAACTGTTCCTCATGCTTTCTCTGCCTCCTTGCCAGGCATATCCCCCTGCCACAAACCACAGTCATCTGTCAGTTTTCAAAAGGCTCAGGGACTGTACTTTGCTTAGGTGCTTCAGAAAATAAAGTAAAATACTAAGACTGATGTCTCTGGAGTCAGGTCTGCTTGTTGTGTGATGGTAAAAAGTTCTATTACCTTCCTACATGTAACATGCAAGCTAAGTGGTGGAACAGTTTGTTTCCGGGAGACAGAGAGCCAGTCCCCCGTCAAGTTAAAACTCCTGTCAAGCCCTGAAGCCTACACATTTTTTTAGGTGCATTTCTAGCTACCGCTGGCTCCTTGGTAACTACAAACCTAGTCAAGATGCTCCCCCCAAGGTCCTCAGTGCACATGCCCCTTAGAATCATGCCCAGACCCTCAGCAAGACATGACCCTCCAGAACCTTGCCCACACTGTGCACAATAAGTGTGAGTCACATGCAGACTACTGGTGCTGGGTCACACCTAACTGCAAACCATCCAAGCAAATACCACTCAGCCCCAAGGCTGGCCAACAGGACAAGAGCTGTGCTCAAGAATGCTGCACCAACAGTGGCCCCGGCACCGTGCACACAAAAGACTTCTGAGCCTGCTTTTCTCCCTAGCCTCACCCCTATCCTGTGCGCCTTTATTTCCTCACACATGGTCCCTCTCACCTGAGCACCTTAATATACACTGTTCACTGTGTAGAATACTGGATCCCTCTACTGGAGACCTCAGCATGAATGTCACTTTCCAGAGGACCGTTTCCATAACCACTCCTGCCACCGACACTGCCGCCCACTGATGTCAGAAGCTCCTGCTATGTCCCCTCTCCACAATGCCCCAGAGTTCCCCCATCCCTCATCTCCACGGCATTAGGACAGCAGGGCTTACTTTGGTTTCATTCAGCAGTAGTAATTCCTAGGGCCTAACATCTACGAAGTGTTCAGATGTGTGTGCAGCATAAGGAACCCCAGAAGGAACAGGGAGGAGCCGCTCTCACTGAATTACAACAAAAAGTTACTCTAATCAGGTTTCACTTTCCACCTCTTCTCATGTGAACACGTGAGAAATGTTAACTGCTGAGTTGGAGTGCTACAGATACAATGCTCATTCTATAGGTTTTTAATTCTTCATAATAAACCTTAGGGAAAAAAATAAAGTGAACTCTGCCTTCATTCCTAGTCCTGCCTGCCCTGTTAAATATTACTCAGCTACAGGTCTCTCAGTGACAACTTGTCATAATAATTCTTCCACCATCTGATGGCAGTACCATATGACAGAATACAGCCTACCGCCAGTATAAGAAAACAGCAAAGAATCCTTCGGGTCAGCTCATAAAATGCAAGGTCTGCTGATGGCCAGGTGCTGGGTTCCAACAAAATGCTGGGATTACTCAGCATCCTTTTACTGGGAGCCCTTCCTACAGGCAAAGAGAAGTGCTCATGGTGGAGAAGAGGAAGAAGAAAAAGATGCTGGAAAGGGTGAGCAAGCTGCAGAAGAAAGCAGAGCCGTGATAAAGTCAAAGCAGGGAGCTGAGTTACACCAATCCAGCTTGCTCTGGTGCTGGTCTAGCAGCCAATCACTAACTGGCCACGTGTGCTCATTTTCCACTCAGTAACGGAACATGAGAGAGAGCGAACATTGCAGACACAAGAAAAAGTGCCCGTTCATGACAGCTATTCTGAGGGCTGTGCAATCATAAACAGTTCTAGAAAAATGACTGACAAGGACATTAAGTTTTTGAAGTTCAGTGGATGAAGACCCCTCACTACCTGTCCCCTCTTTCCCCTCCTGCACATCACTCCTGAAGGAAAGAACTGTGATGTCAGGGCAGCTGACCTAAGGCTCTGACACTTGCCATTACCTCTTGCTGCTTCTCCTCATTGGGGTAGGTGTCTACAAATACTCCCAGCCCCACAAATTTGTCCATGTTTCCAAACACAGGCCCTAGAGAGAGAGAACAGATGATGAACAATGAAATAAAGCAAAGAGTTGATAAAAGAATATTATCTCCCTATGATGAAGGAAAGGAGAAATTCAAATGACTCCTGGGCTTCTCTTAAGATGAGAACACACATGTAAAAGCACCTGGCAAAGTTCAGGGCCTGGTCAACACCTGGAGTTGTTTGCTGTTGAAGGCAGGGAAAGAGAGAAGGCCACTGCGATCCTGGTTAGCACTATGGCAGCTTCCTGATCCTAATGGGTTGCTAAGGAGCCCCTACAGAATTGTGCTTCACAAACACTTGGTGCAGATCATGCCCCCAAGAGAGAAATGAACTCCCAAGTTCTACTTCTTGTTGCAAAAGATAGCAAGTCAAATCAGGTTGAGCCTGACATCTACCTGGAGCAAGGCTCCCACACAGCAAGGGAAAATACAAAATTCTTCTCTCACTCAAAGTGCTGAGCCTGCTCACTGGATATGTCCAGAAGAAACCAGCTCACCAACCAGCAGTGTTTGGGAGAGCCAGGGCTTCACCCAGCCAATGGGCCAAGTTTCACAGGGAAACTCGGGAGAAACTAATGAGCAAGAAATCACCCCATGTAAGTCACGCTCAGCTGGACTCAGATCCCACACTAGAGACTAGACAAGCCGTGTTCATCGACAGACATCAAGGGAGAGGGAAAACCTTCTCCATAAGAAGGCACAGGAGAAAGTAGGCCTACCATTCCCACATACAAGCAGTCCAGGGTCCCCAATACCTGGCTGCATCCGATCCTTTGTGTACCAGATTGCAAGGCCATCCCCATGCAGGTTCTTCTTGCCCTGGCCGTGGATCCTGAAGTGCACTTGCAACTCCCAGTCTCTCAGGAAACACGGCTGCAGTGAAACAGACACTGGGATCAATGAGGAGCAGGAAATCAAACCCCTCAAGCCCTCAGTGGCATCCTACAGACTGGGGAAAACATAAATGCAGGCTGTAAGTCTGAGGCTTAAAACCAAAACCTAAGATTCGTGAAGTGTTTGGTCATAATATTAAACAGATTGAGCCATTTGACCATTTAAGATATTTACTATGAAAAGTGAATAAAAAGCCCAGTTATTTTCATCATCTTCCAGCAAAAACACACTCCAGAAACAGCACTCCACAAATGGAAAAGGAAGGAGAGACTACCATGACCCTACTGTCTTCCAGAAAAGAATCTGTCTCCTCAGTATACATGGTTGAATTAAACTTTATTTGCAACTTAAGATCACTGCTCTGACAAAAAAGACCCTAAAAAGCTAGGATTTAAAGAAAGGTCAAGGCCTTATTCTTATAAAAGAGTAAGAAAAGCTAAGCCATTATGCCAAAGTTTCCAGGTATCAATTGCAGATGCTAGAAACAACTCTAATTAGCTGGACTTGGCCCTCTACCAAGGTGAGGCACTAGCCTGAATTCTCATAAGAGGTCCCCCAAACCCTTAATACCATGACCAGGAAGCACAGAAGGGCCAGAAGTGAATGCCACACTAGCAGGAACAGCTTCTGCTGAGAAAACATTAGGAGGTGGTACTAATCAGACTTCTATTTTGGTTTTTTTGTTTTTGTTTTTAAACTGTGGCTGGGTATGTAGCTCAGTGGCACCGCACCCGCCTGGCAAGTGCAAGGTCCTGGGTTCAATCCCTGGTATGGGGGGAGGGGTGCCTATCACATTTTTTTGAACTGTGTATCAAGACCCTGTAAAAACAGAGAAGGAGGCAGGTGGCTAAGTGCTCTGAATAATTTAATGGTTTTAAGGAAATTTAGGGAAGTTCCTGGTTAAAGGCCATTGTGAAGAAAGAAGGTAAGAGGCAGAGAGACCAGCTGGGGTTAGCCAAAGACTCTACAAACAGATTGTTATGGCTCTTTGGGAATATACTGCTTGATCATTTTTGCTTTTCATTTCGAATTTCTGGGATATTTTCCAAAAGCATTAGGAGTACAAAGTCAAAATGATAGAGTTGGCTCCTTCTGCTTTCAGCAAGGAACTTAGAAATCACCAACAGCTTAGCCTACTCTGAGCCCAGTCCCTGTTTTGTCACTCTGAGGCCCTATCTCCCTGCTGTTTCATTTGGATTTCACAAGGTGAAGTTCAGCAGCAGAAAGCTGCTTCACAGCCAGTAGGTAGCTATGAAGCCACTGGGAAGGCAGAGCCAGATAAGGTCACACTGAGCCAAGGGGCATTCTGTCTCAGGCAGCACAACACTCTGTGGTTTTCCTCAGGGCTGTGACTAATAGTGGTTCTGACACTTTGTTGCACTGAATCTCCATAGGGAGCTTTAAATCCCAATGGCCAAGCGCACCCTCTTCCAATTACATCAGAAGCTCTGGGGTGGGACCCAGGTGCCAATGCCAACAGCAGCCAAATTTAAGAACTACTGTCCAAACACATCCTACACAAATAACTCAAAAACAGCTCCACAGCTCTTTCTAATGGCGAGGAAACAGAGAACACAGGTATCAGAGAATCTGAAAAAGGGCAAGAGAACTAGACTCTAGGCTAGAATTTGCTGCTTAGAGACAGCTACTAAGACAGCAGCAAAGTCTTAAGCCTTGGACATAATCATTTAATTCCCCACAAGAGTCTTGCTGTCAATGACAATGAAACTTGTAGCAGGTAAAACAACAACACAAATTTCCCTAAAATTTTAACTTTCCAAAATCTTTTCATGTCTATTGTATTTTATTCTCCCAACTTTGGTGAGCAAGTAGAACAGGTCTTACGAAGTTCAGGTGAAAATTGGAAAAAGGGAAAATGCAAGGGTAGATAACCTGCTCAGGGCCTGTGGTGGTTCAGTGACAGAGCTGGATTTCGAAGTCATGCCTTTCAACTGCCTTTTACATCTGCTGCTGTGCTCTGCACTGTCCAAAACTGATCTCGGCACTAAAATCTGGAGAGCTCATAGAGAAACTTCTCGCTCTTCCACTCTCTGAGAATTCTCTGCTTCAGAAAATGAACAGGGAAAAGAAAGAGCTCTCTTTTCTGAGGTTCACTCATCTACAACTAATGAGAACCATGTAAAAGATTATTTTTTCTTTACTTATGGGAACCAGAGAGAAAGTATCAAATGATTATAAATGATGCCAAAATGATGCCCAAAAGTAACATGGTTGTAAAAGATTTAGAAAGAGCCCTGGTAACTAAAAAGAAAGCATCATCTTATACTTGTACAAAATCACAGTGCAGCCAGCCATACCAGGACTACCGCATTTACTTCTTATCTCAAGGAGGACAATGTAGCTAAAAAAGTCCAGAGAAGGATAAATAAAATAACCAATAGCTCAGTGATTTTTCACATGAAAATATATATATATATTTTTTTGAGATGGGGGTTCACATATAGTTCAGGCTACAGTGATCCTCTTTTCTCAGCCTCCCAAGGGTGGCTACAACTATGGGTGTGCACCACTACACCCAGTCAAAAACAAAACTTTTAATTTGATTCTTCAAACTGAACAAGAGAAGACTATTAGGATGACGTTTGGGATGAATTTATCTTTCTTGATTTTTTTTTTTTTTTACTTTATTAATTTTTGACACAAGGTCTATATTGCACAAGCTGGCCTCAAACTCCTAGACTTAAACAATCCTCCTGCCTCAGTCTTGCAAGAAGCTGGGACTACAAGAGTGTTCCATCTTGCAGACTCTAGTCTTCTTCTTTCTTTCTTTCTTTTCGTATTTTTTAGTGTCCCACTTTATAAAGCAAAATAAACAAAATTCTATTAAACTCCAGTAAGTAGTGCTATTGGGTCAATCTGGAATTAAACATATTTCTGAAAACAGATTCAAAATGAATTGTTTGCTATAATTAGGGAAAGGTATCTGATTTCTGTTAGAAAGGTTACCATAATTTCTAAAATAAAGATCCCTGGTATCTACAAAAAAATCGACTACTAAAAATAGACAATAAAAGTAAGTCAATATGCCACTGCTGAACTTTTTAGGACAATCTGGAGCTGTCAGGAGGGGAAAAAGTCCTTCTTACCACCCGGTTCCACAAGGCACCCTGTTTACTCTGCATATCTGGAGTAAGGCGGATATACTGGGTCATCACCATGGCATTGCCCATCAGATTCCACAGTGAGGAACTGCCTGTGCCCACACCTATGGGGAGGAAGTGGATCAGTTCATATTTTTCAACTCATTCAAAGACCTACCACAGATCCTCCAAGAGTTACAGCCATTATCTTTTTTTTTTTCCCCCTTTCATGTCACTCAATACAATCTCCCACCTTCTGTCACACATTTTTTAAAAGAATTTTTTCAAAGAAGTCTCATAATGTTGCCCAGCCTGGCCTCAAACTCCTCAGCTCAGGTGTTTCTCCAGCCCCAGCCTCTCAGGTAGTTCAGACTACAATCACATGCCTGTACTCGGCTACACATAAATCTTTTCATTTTGCTTATTTGAGACAGGGTCTTGCTATGTAATCCAGGCTATCCTTGAACTTGTGACAATCCTCCTGCCTCAGCCTCCACAATGCTTGGAGTACAGGAATGTGCCATCACACAACACATAAATCTTAAATCCTTACCATCTTTACAGCTTCCTTTCTCAAAGCCCTTCTCAGATGAAGAACTCAAAGTACATCAGAGCTATCACTTCATGCATGCCACAGAAACAATAGCTCAGATCTATTCCCATTTTATATGAGTGAACTTTAGTACTATGAAAGAAAAAAAAATCCCTTGGTTATAGCAAAAGAGCTTGGCCCATGGGCCTGAGTTTAATTCTTTAATTAATCTTTTAAGTATGAGTTACATCTCCGTCCCCAGACTATAAACTCCTAGAGAGTGAAAACTTAGTTTCTGTAGGACCTGCAGTATGACCAGCACATGGGAGGCAATGTAGGTGCTGGGTGAATAAGTGAGACTTTAGCAATGGTAATGCATGTATACTCTTTTTGTTTCCTGTTACCATATCCACACCTCAGTAGGGAAAAGGACTTGTGTTAAGCCATCTCACTGATGCTCCCCTTTTGTAGTTAACTGCACCCATTTTCTGGTTGATAAGCTATGCATATTAGAGTCCTACAACTGCTAGACACAGCAAAATTAACCAACCTTTTTCATCATTAAGGACCCTTGTCAAGAAAGAGTATTCTAACAAGCAACAGGAGTTTATCTTCCTTCTCAGTCTGGCCAAGTTCTACCCCAGTCCTTCCTCCAGTTTTATTTCTGGCACACTCAAAGGTCCATCGCGATTCTAGCTCAGGGGTGGTGGCTTCGAGTCACTCCTCACTGTTCCCACTCCTTCCCACACTGCTCCCGCCCACCACCAGCTTCCTCGGTCGTTCCAACTGCTGGTGGCATTGGAGCGCCCAGCCTCGACCTACTGGAAACTTCCAGGACTCGAGAACGGGAGGGAGCGGACCCCAGACCTTCGGACCTGGGGCGCTCAAACGTGGGTTCCTACCCAACCCCGGCTGTTTCCTCTGGGCCGAGAAGCCCCGGGCGGTCGCCACCTCCACCAAGGGGCACAGGTCGCAGAGCCCCCCTCCCCGTAAGATCACCTCGCCCTGGGCGCCTCACCCTGATAGGGCTTCGACAGCGAGTGCTCCCGTTTCAAGTACTCGAACGCCTGACCCGCCCCGACTTGCAGTGGCCCCAGCCCAGACCCCAACAAAAGAAGAAAAAGCAACATCCTGGACCCATGCCTAGCCGACAAACGCCGCCGCCAGTATTGCCACCAGCCAGAGGAAAACAGAGTCAGCGCCATCTTTCCTACCGCGTCCCTTTACCAGAAGCCCGCCCCCTCGCCCAACCTATTGGCCCTTAGCACTATTTTCTCCGTGTCCCATTGGCTCTTGTTCTGTCCCCGCCCGCACAGGTGAGTATAGCATCGATTGGCTGTCTTGCATATCAGTTGCCTTGCCAACCCAGGAAAGGGGCATGGCCGAATGTCCGGACTCCTTTATCTGCATTTGTCCTGCGCTTTGCTAGGCCTGCTGGGTTAGTAGTGATTTCTGTTTTGTTTCTGCCTTCTGTAGTAAATTTAAAGAGATAAAACCTTTCTTGGCGGGCGATCCCGAGCAAAAGTTCTATGGTCTGTGCCATAGACTGTACGGAATTTATCAGTAAGAGGATATAGAACTGAACGGAGAAATAGACAAATCCACAATTAAAGTAGCTTGAAAATAATCAAATTTATGAAAGACTTGAGCTTCACTATTAACCAACTTGACCTGATGACATTTATAGAAACTTCACCCAACAACAGTGGAAGACGTTCTTTTCAAGCACAAATAAAATGTATGCCCAGAAATTTGAGGCCATAAAACAAACCACAAATGTGAAAGAATTGAAAGTACACAAATAATTCAATATTAACTAGATCACTTCCTTCCCGTTCCTCCTTTCCTATTTCTCCCAAGCCACCACAACTTGTGCATCCAGATTGGTCTGATCCACTGTTCTCACAAGGTCACTGATGTGGTCTAAGCCATTAACCATGGTGCTTGTCAGGGTTAAATAAGGTAACAATTGGTAAAGCCTTAGATGAGACCCTGGTATGTGGTAAACACATTCCATCCTCATCATTGTCATTAACAGGGCCTTTGACAGCCCTCATCTTCAAGGAGGAGACTGAAGTCCCTCAACTTGACACACAAACCTCTCTGCCATCTGGCCCTGCCCATGGCTCCCTTCCTCCACCCTCAATTTCCAACTTCCAGACTGGCTTCCTCAATTCTTCTTTCCAGCAGCCCATTTCCTCCTGGAGGTTTTCCTCGACATTCTCAGGCTGCTCAGCTCTGCATGTGCTCCATGCACATCTCTTACGTAGCACTCATCAGATCTCTGCCTTTGGCTTCTGAATAGATTTCACCAAAGTCAACCCTGTTGGTCTGGGAGTGTAGCTCCATGACAAAGTGCTTTCCTACCATTCACAGGTCCTGGGTTCAGTCCCCAGTACAACGCCCCCGACACACCAGTTCTTTGTTTCCTGAGCATAAATATATTTAATATGAGTGTGTTTGTTTTGTAAGGGATCAACTTTTTAAAGCTATCAAATCCATTAATACTTTATACAGTCCACATAAAGCAGATGCATGGTGATAGGACATAAGGAATTAGAGTAAATCTATTCATGCATGAATACTCTGGTTTTAAAGCCATTTGTGGCCCTGAATTATCATAGGATAAAAGTCAAGTGAATATTCAAGGCCCTTCATAACTGACTCAAATCAGGCTGTTCACATATGTGTATCACTGGAACTGTGTAGCTCAATTAACAGATTATGCATTTGTCTCCCCATGGAGGCTGGGAGTTCCTAGACCATTGGAAGCAGGTCTTACTCACTTCCTATACCAGACCCAACCCCTAACCCATCACTAGTATATAGTAGGGTTCTAAGTGTTTCAAAGAATTATTTCTACTGTATTTATCAGTTGATGGATTTTTTTATTGTAATAAAAAATTTACCACTGTAACCTTTCTTTTTTTTTCCTTGCTGAAGATCAAAGGTAGGGCTCCATGCACACTAGACAAGTGCTGTACCATTGAGCTATATCCCAGCCCCCCTTTTCCTCTTCTTTGGGGTACGGAGAATGGAATACAGGGGTGACCTACAACTGAGTTACATTCCAGGCCCTTTTAATTTTAATTAATTAACAAATTTAATTTATTTATATTAATTAAATATTACTTGCATCAATTTATTTATATATTAATTAAATTTATTTATATTAATTAATATTTTAAGACTCACTGAGTCACCCAGGATAACCTTGAATTTATAATCCTGCTGACTCAGCCTCCAGAGTAGTTGGGATTACAAGGGTATGCCCACACCTGCTCCCAGCCCTCATTTTAAGTACACTATATGCTCAAAGGAGGCCTAAGTTTATCACATCGTTGTATGACTTGTCCATTGCATTTCTGATGGGCTATTATCAGCAGATCTCTTGCTGTAAAATTCTTCATGATGAAGAAAAGTTGGATAAAGGAGAAGAGTAGAAAAGGTGAACACCCCAGATGATTTTGTTCTGACTGTTGCAATAGGAAGAAGACTCATTAATGAGGAGCATTTCAAAGAAAAGGAACAGAGCTGGGGTTTGAGAGAGGCAAGTAAACAAGAGAGTTATGATGAGAAAGAACTGGGAAGAGCATCTCACTTCAATAGCTGAGCAAGAACAGAAGTGGGACTTGTCCTGGAATATGCTAGAGAGGGGCAGTTCTTCAAGATCAGCTACTTCTCAGTCTACAAGGGGCACAAAAGAATGGTGGGGTTTCTACTGTAGCTGCTTTCCAGAAGAGCCAGATTCAGGTAAGTTCAGCACTGACCAGGGGCTGAAGGAAAGAGAAAAAGGAGTCAAACACCCTCCGATACACTGCTCACACATAGCCATTTTGTTGCTGCTGTTTTTGTTTTTATTTTTTGTTTTTTGAGACAGAGTCTTGCTATGTAGTTCAGGCTGGCCTTGAACTCGCAATGTAGTTGAGGCTGGCCTCAAACTTGGAGCAATCCACCTGCCTCATCCTGCCAAGTAGCCAGGATAACAAGCTCGAACCACCATCCCCAGTCCCAGGCATTTTCTGAAAGCTGGGTCAGACCTTAATCTACTACTTTTCAGCTGCCTAATATTCAGCTATTTCTCCATGCAGTCATAGCGCATGATCCAGGACACACAGCTCCAGGGCAAGGGGCACTCAAATACATCACCAGTCGTGCATCTGGGTGATTCTTGCATCTGCCAACTTCAGAACCAAGCAGGTGTGCTCAGGGGCCTGATGCCCTTCACCCTGCAGTTCCATCCTTTCTCTCCTGCCATCCTTCATTTCTAAGCTTTGCCATTCCCTTTACATCCACTACCAGCCCAACTCCAGGAGCCAAAGTAGGACCTCCTCAAAACAGGTATGATCATCCCTCCCTCCTCAGGGGCCCCAAGGGGTCTGGGGGTCAGCTGTCTTCAGCTTTCTGGTCACAGCTGACTGGGTCCCAGCCCTCTGTCCCTCCAACACAGAGAACAGCTCTGATGCTACCTAGATGGCTATTTCTTGATGCTGGCCTCCATGTGTCCACATTGAATATCCTTGTGCACCTCTGAAATACAGATGCCTGGGCCCCACTCCCATGACCATGGGTCTGGGGTTGGATCCAGGATTTGGACTTGAGAATTTCCTCTCAGAAGAACTGGACTACAACCTATCCACACCAAGTGTCTCCTCCCAACCCCATGATGACACAGGCTCTGTAGTGAGAATACCAGTACTCACTTCATAGACTATGAACACATTCCAGATGGAGGATGATGCCTAAATTTAGCTGTGAGATTTAGAGATAAGATTTGGAAATTTGGTTTAAAATATGCTAGGGGGAAGTTGCATGGGTATGTGTTGGGGGAAGGTAGAACAAAGTGGGTTTTTTTTTGTTGTTTTTTTTAAATTTCCAAATCAGTAGGCTGTGGACAACTGTTGGAGCTGGGTTAGTAATACAACAGGAACCATCTTCTAGTTTCACATATGAGGTCTGCCTTAGTAAAGAGCTTTTTAAAACTTCCCCTGGAGATGAGATGATTAGAAAATGTGCTGCATGTGCATGTGTGGTATTTTCTAAATTTCCTAGAGGGAATGAAAGCTATAATTAACTATAATCTGATGAAGTTAATCGTGACCCATCAATAAAATGTCATAATTAGAGAGAAAGAAAAAGTTGTCAAGAGATGGCATATATAAGACTTGTGTCAGTTCTGTCCAGAGAAAGTATTTCCAAGTATCCTGTGTTGGGTCTCCTTACAACTTTATTCAAATCGTCTGTTATTCCAGTATATTCATATGGACATCTAACATTGTAGCCCTCTTAGAAGTTTAATTTCTTAGTATAAATTAAGAAATTTGGGGCTGGAAATTTAGCACAGTGGTGCTGCGCCTGCCTCACAAGTGCAAGGTCCTGCGTTACATACGCAGTACTGTGAGGGAGGGAGGAGATTTGGCCAGGATGGTGGCACATGCCTCTAATCCCAGCAGCGGAGAGGCTGAAGCAAGATGATCATGAGTTTGAAGCCAGCCTGGGATATATAGTGACACCCTGTCTCAATGAAAAGGAAGAAAGAAATTAGTATTTGGGTTGTCAGTTAATTACATGTCAGCTGAATCGGAATGACTTGTTCTCCCCAATCTGTTTATCTATTGGTGGACTGACAGATAAAGATCAGTATTCGGAGGACCAGGTCTCAGAACTATGGTGACTCTCAGGGTCTGCTCCAGGGGCCTGCTTGCTGCAGGGTGAGGGGATGTGATTCACCAAGCATTCCAGAGTGGGACTGGGAGAGGGAGGAGAAGCCTGGCACATTCAGTTGGAATGAGAACCAGCTCTACTCTATGACTGTTTCCAGAATGCCAGGGTCATGTCCCATGGTGAGAAAGGAGGAACTATCGATGGAGAAGGTAGAGTGGAAGCTATTACTGAAACAATAAAAGGCAAGAAAACAAATGATTTGAAAAGCAAGGAAGTAGAGCTCCCACTAGCCAGGAGGGGGTTCTGAGTAGAATGCCCACAAGGGCTGTCTAGGGGTTTTTAGGGGGATTAGAAGGGAGCTTGCACAGTGTGTAAGCAATAGAATCTCCACCTTATAGAGAGCTATATACTTCTTAGGGTCTAATCTGTGCAGTGCCCATGCAGGGCTTGTGCACCTTTGAGCTGATAGCCCTACTGATTGTGCTCTGGGGAGGACCCAGACAGCCGAAGGACACCTAAGTAGATGTTCTTGTAAGGTCCCTGGAGGGTCGTGACTCAGCAGACTCCATCTTGGACTTCTTGATCCATTTGGTGGACACCATCCTCACTGCCTAATAGAACCTTAGCTGGCATCTCACTAGTTCCCGTTACACTCCCCCCTCTGAAGAAGCAACCCTAACTACCTAGG